ACAGTAACTACAAAATTTCAGAAAATTAAAAGGAGGTGCTGGGTTTGAAATGGAAGTGATGAATACCGTCATATTATGGGAACTTTGTGTCAAGCCCAGAGGGAGTTTTTCTTGGAAATGGTCCGGAACATTCTCTTTGCACCTTCACAGGTAAAGGCATAGGAGCTTACGGCTACTCTTGTGCACACTAGGGTCGTCTCTCTCCCTTACGTGCCAAATTCTTTTGATTACAAAATTTTGAGTTTAATGCCTCAGGCATTGTTGAGAAAGATCTAGATGTCTCTAGGTAAACCTAGGTGACATGCAAACTCTGTAGGATGCCTTCGTTTTTTTTTTTTTTTTTTTTTTTTTTTTTTTGAGACATGGTTTTGCTGTGTCGCCCTGGGTAGAGTGCAGTGGTGTCATCCTAGCTCACTGCAACCTCAAACTCCTGGGCTCAGGCGATCCTCCTGCCTTGTAGCTGGGACTACAGGCGTGCCATGACACCCAGCTAATTTTTTCTATTTTTGGTAGAGATGGGATCTCGCTCTTGCTCAGGCTGGTCTGGAACTCCTCAGCTGAAGCCATCCTCCTGCCTCGGCCTCCCAGAGTGCTGGGATTACAGACCTGAGCCACTGGGCCTGGCCGATGCCTTTCATTTAATTCATCAACGTACAAGTCCTAGTTTCTCTACCACTTTTATGTTCTGCCCCTTTTTGCCTCTGTCCTGTGTTTCCGTGGGCATTCTCTGCACCTACTCTGTTAGCGCGTTAATCATTGTGCAGGCGGTAATGATTAAGCTATTTCTGTGAACTGTTTGGGGTGAAGGTACAGAGTGCTTTTTAGCTTTCTTCTTGTTTATTTATTCTGAAATGTTATTTTAAATCTTAGCCCAACATATTGAGCTGAAAGACTTGTATTAAAATCAATTGCCTGCTAGAAATTTAAAAAAATGTAAAGCACCTGACAAGGTAGTGAATTAGAACTGGTGGAAGAGAAAACCCTGTGTCTGGTGGCTGTCGCCACTGCGGTGCGGCTCCTTTGAAAGGACGCCCTTCCACCTTTGCCCTTAAACCGCTCCTAACATCTCATTGGACTTAATCTAACAAAGGAAATTGTGAATAGATTTCTGTGTTATTAAGCATATTAAGTGATAATCTGAGGGGTTTTTCACAGTACTAATTCAGGGCGGGTTGTACAGAAAGGCAGCAATAGGAAAGTAAAAGTCTCATGTTGGCAATGATCTGGACATTTTTGTGTCAAATGTAAGTTCTGAGTGTGGAAACTAAAGCCCAATTTCATTTGTTCTTTTTCTTGGGTATCTGGTCACATAGCAGATAAAGATGTTTTGATAGCTGGGACAGGATCAGGCTACCTGCTGTTTAATATGTAATTTCAGAAAGTGCTTATGAAGGGCCTTCTAGGTCCAAGAAATTCCGGGAATCATCCAGAGGTCAGGGGAGGGTAAGGCCAAGCAGCTGCCCTGGGGAGCCCCCCTGCAGGCATCCCCTTGGCCTTCTTGTAGTCAATCAAATGGCGACACTTCATTCTCACTACAGAGGAACACTTCCGAAGCCCGGGCCTGTTGCTTCTGGGGCAGAGAGACTGATAACCCGCCCAGCTCCGTGGTGCGTGTTCCTCTTGCGGGCTCTGTTCCCAGCCCCGTGAAGATCGTAATGTACTCGGCAAATGTCTGGTCACTTTTCCAACAAGAATCCCTTTGGCTTGTGTTCTAGATACCCACTCCGTTTGCGTTGTTGTTGGACACGCTGTGTGCTGTGCTGCCGTCTGGGTGACGGCAAGCTGTGGCTGTCAGCACAGAGCCCAGGGGAGTTCTCGCGGACCGTCACCTGGTTGCTCGTGGAGAGATTCCTGAGTGCGCCTCTGTGCTGAGTGTCAGATACTGAACACCTGCTACTTTGCAGGGATTGTGCTAAAAGTATGGATGCAAAGATTAGGGAAATACACTCCCTGGCCTCACACACATACGGTCTAGTGGGAGCAGGAGGGACAGGCACGTAAGAAGTTACAACCCCACGTATCCTCAGGACTACACCAGAATTGGGCCGAGGCGCGGTGAGAATCCGGAGGAGAGTGGGCTTCACGACGTAAGCGCTTGTTACGCCCCTAACCACTCATTTTAGCCCAATCTTCCAAACTGTCGTGCTGCGGTGAGCTGTGATACCGAAAACACCTTGGTGTCAAGGTTATCGACTGATGTCAGCACCCTTCCCGGGCCTCCGCCTGCCCTGCGTGCAGGTGACATACACAGTAGTCGTTGAATGCGGTGTCTGCTTCTTCTGTTTGTCTATTTCTTTTTCAATGTTCTATAGTTTTTATATACTCTGCTATGTAGTTCTCAAAGGAATATTTTGGGTGATAAATGTTCAATTACTAAGACCTAAAAATAGAATTTCAGTAGTTTGAGCTTGTGATATACAAGATGCATCTCTAACATTGAAATTGGGTGGGAAAGAAAAGGTGGATTTAGAAACTTAAACGGTAAGGAAGGAATGAGGGTGTCGCAGTACCTCGAGTCATTGCCGGGACTGGGGGCAGAGGCGCTACTTTTTCTGAGCCCCCCCGCGGCCCCCCATTCATCTTTCCTTCATCTCTCAACTTACGAGAGACTCTACCTGAGCTACGACACCGAAGACCTAATTAAGCACTGTTTGGATTGTCTTGGACCAGATTAGGAGTCACTGAGCAAAGGGATCATTTGTTGTACCTCTTAATCCCTCCGGAGCATTTGGGGCACGGGACACAGGAACCAGTTGGCCTGCTTTGCTTGTCACGGCAGTGTTATGTGGGCATCAGACGAAGCTTTGGGGACTTTCCCGTGCTATTTCTGCTCCTGAACAGAAACTACAGCGACGGGGGAGAGCCCAGTGTCGGAGCGTGCCAGCAGGCCGTGCAGGTAGGAGGTGCCCATGCAGACTCTGCTGTCCATCTGGGGGACACCTTCGAAGGGAACTGCTCCTCATCTGCTCTTGCTGGAAGCAAGAAAGGGCCAGTGTGTGCCCTGCCCCACCCTATATAGGAATTGTGTCTTGTTTAACTCGTCATTAATGGCAAGACCAAGGTTTCTCTAAGTAAATTTCAGGAATTCTTTCAAAGCAACTAAAAAGTAAAATGATGAGATTTCAAAACTTTTTAACTCCCTGAATGTAATGACAAGGACACTGACATTGTTATATTAGTCTGAGGCTCCTGGCTTGGAGGAAGAGTGTTTGCGGGAATCAGACTGTTGTCCCATGAGATCGTGGTTGTGGAAGAGGAGGTGGCCGCGGCTCCACCCCTGACAGGCCTCTGCCCGGACGTCTGCTTTCTATTAGGAGGAACTTTGTGGTTAATAGAGAGAGTTAGTGACTGCAGCTTTTTTTTGAATTCTTTGTTCACAGTGAAAACTATTTTAAGTAATGCTCACCCCGTCACCTTGCTGGCCATTTGAAGCACTCTTCCTCCAGATGCAGAGCAAATGAAGGACGATAGGAAACCACACAGATTCACAGCCTGACCTACACCCATAGATTATGGAGAAAGTCTTCTAAATCCTATGAAAGGCTAAAAGCAATTCTCTTCTATTTTTCTGTTATTGGCAGCTATGATAATTTATTATCATAATTCCAAGCATGAGATGTGACTTTCACAAAGATGTGTGAATTTAACCTATTTTCGTGTCCAGAGGAAGCGAAACCATCCCTTCCTCTTTGCACTTGACGCTGTTATCTACATGAAGCAAACCTGAAATGTGAAAACGTTTTTATACAAACACACCTAATGGATGAATATTTGCTTTGGAAAGTGTTCTTCACTCCATCTGGGGAGTCTGGCGTCCTGTGGTCACAGTGTGACAACAGGTGCAGCACACACCTCCTGTGACCCTCCCCGTGCTGTGGGCAGTGGACATCACTGTGACCACCCCCAGATGGGAAAATGGTTCCGGAAGCTAAATGTCACCCCGCGGGCCTCGAGAAGGCAGCGCCGGGGAGGGCAGTTCCGGCAGGTGCCCTGGGGCAGGGGCAAGACTCAGTGTAGCTGGATCCCCAGGGGAAAAGAAGGACAGTGACACATGCATGATCAGGTGGGGACACGTCCTGAAGGGCCTGAGTGGTGTGCCGAGGACACTGGGCTTTGTCTGGAGGTTGCAGGGAGTGGTTTAAGACGTCTGAGCAAGATCGTGATGCAGATTAACGCGGGAACCACTGTCTTGTCGCCATGCCTGGGTAGAGTACGTTCTTTCATTTGTTAGCTGAAATGGCCTGATGCTGTCTGGGACTCACCTACTTAGATTTTCTTTAACTCCACAAAGTATTTGTTACTGTACAATCATTCTTGAGGAGTGCCTACGTGAGTCACCTCCCTGGGCACAGGGAGAACAGACAAGAGTGACGCACCATACCCAGCACACGTGCTAACGGCCCCCCACGCCCCTCGGCCTGAGCCACACCAGTCCCCTTGCTGTTCCTAGGGTGTCCCAGCACGTTTCGGTCCTGGGGCCTTTGCACACGTGTTCTCTTTGCTGGAACATTCTCCCCCAAGACGTTTACACAGCTCGCTCCCTCATTCCCCGAGGTCTCTCCTGACCCTAGTCAGTGAGGCCTTCCCCGACCGCTCTGTCCTGCGTCATCTTGTCACCACCAGACATTCCACACGCGTGTTTGTTTACGTGCCCCACATCTGTGTGCCCAGCAGAAGGGTGGCGCAGTGAGAGCAGGGACTCTTTTTTGTCCACACCTCAAACACAATGGCCCGAGCCCAGCACATAGTGTGCAATCAGTAGGGAATGAAGGAATCTTCGCTTGACAAGCTTTGGCTCCTTAAACATTTCATTGCCTAAAGATCTTTCCCTTCCTCAGTGTGCCTATCACGGGTCGAGCCTGGAAAAGACGCTCAACAGTATACTGTGTAGGTTCTGAGTTCAGGTATATCCTCAGTGGTAAATGGTGTTTCATTTTTAAAAAGCAAATGCGTGTTCTTGTCTATCAGTTTCACCAATGACTTCTCTTCTCTCCTGGCAGCTGAGCTCCGCGGCGTGACCACGCCGCCCAGGCAGGATGGTGGACATGGAGAGCCCGATCTGTCCCCTCTCCCCACTCAAGGTTGATGATCTGGGGAGCCCGTTGTCCGAAGAGTTCCTACAGGAAATGGGAAACATTCAGGAGATTTCTCAATCCATTGGAGAGGATAGTTCTGGAAGCTTTAGTTTTACCGAATACCAGTATCTAGGAAGCGGTCCAGGATCGGATGGATCTCTTATCACAGGTAAGTGTGCTGTTTCCTAGAGCACTTGGTTTAGAAATATTTTTTCCTCAGAGAAAATTGTTGTCTTTAGCCGTAAAAGAAGTCACATCTTTTTGCAAAGAAACCTTCAGACACTATGTCCAGTGTTGTTGGGATCTGGAAGCTTTTAAAGTATATCTCGCAGAAGGGTGGGGCGGAAAAAATAAATAAATGAAAAGAAATAAAGTGTAGCTTGCTTCTCATAGTTAGCCTGCTTATAGAAGCTATGTACAAGCCAAATAATGCCTGAAATGCATGTTATGTAGAGCAGCGCATAGACTCCAAACGCCAGCAAGCCCAGGGAAAAGAGTTAGACGTTGTTTCAAAGGAGGCGCGCACAAGGGTCTGCATTGAAGCGCTGTCTGAAGTCGAAGAGTAGGAACAAGCTGATCATTCATTGAAGGGAAGCGGATACATCGTGCCGGGTTCATACAGTGGACTACTTCATAGTCATCTGAAAGAATGAACTGGCTCTACGTGTATCAACACGAGCCCATCTAGAAAGCAATGTTGAATGAAAATAAACAAGCTTAGGGATGTACTCAGTATGTTCAGTTCATGTACACTCTTAACCACTGAACAGCGTATCAGCGGTGGGCACAGACACACACTTACTGCAAAGCGTATCCCAACGTTAAGGTCTCAGGCATCTCCGGAGAGAGGGAGGTGGGATTGGGGAGGTCTCATGGGGACTCTAATTCTCTCTAGGTTGTATTTGTAAAGGACATGAAGCAGTGTGATGAGTCCGGGTGGGGGATATGTGGGTATTACAGTTGTGTGTCGCTTAGTGACAGGGACAAGTTCTGAGAAATGTGTCGCTAGGTGACTCCTTTGGTGTGCAAACATTGCAGAATGCACGTACACAGACCCAGATGGCATAGCCTGCTACACACCTAGGCTACCGCTCCTGGGCGACACACCTGTATAGCATGTGCCTACTGCATACAGTAGGCAGCCGTAACACAACGGTAAGCATTTGTGTGTATAAACATATCCGATCACTAAAAGGCACATTACAAACTCAGTATTACAGTCTCTGGGATCATGGTGGTTGACCGAAATGTCATTTCAGCACATGACTGTATTGAGATAAACTCAGAGAAATGAAGTCCCTTGCCCTGGTTCACACAGCTGGAGATGGTGCCTAGACTGGACGTCACCCTCTCAGCTGGCTCCAAATCTGTGTTCTTTCCATCTTAGCATGAACACGCCTTGTAAAAGGCAACAGCGTCCTCGACTTAGTAAATCAGGAATTGCGTGATGCAAGTGAGACACTGAGGACTCAGGGATCTTTGTGACAGAGCAGCCTTTGTAGTGACCCCAGTAGACCTGTACAAATGTCTCAAGTTTTGACTCCCTTTCTCATGACACGTTACAGAGGGGATAAGCTTTGGAGGAAGGACCAAGGGGACAGGGTGATGGCAGCTTCCAGAGCAGAGGGGAGCAAGGAAAAGTCTCCATGTCGGGCGCCTGGCAGAGCCTGGGTAGGGCGCCTTGTGGCAGACCTGGGTTAGTGAGAGTGACAATGACAGCATTGGCTACTGAGCACCGTGCAAGCCACCTTGTCTCACCAAATCCCAAGAACAACATTGTGAGTTCACCACTGTGTTTATTTAATGAGTGAGGAAAGGAGGCTCCAGGACACCGTGTCGTGCTGCAGATCACAAGCCCAGAGGACCAGGGTGAAAACCTGCCTCCCAACCCCTCAAAACAGGTCCTGTCTTCACCTATCATAGACATAGCCCCTGATGCTTCATCCTCATCTTCTACTGACTATTTGTAGCAGTTAGCAGAAAATTATTTTTTTCTTTATACATTTTCTTTATAGATTTTTTCTTTCGGTCAGATACACTCCAGAGGTTGTTCCGAAATAATTTGTGTGAGTGGGGTGGGTGTGTGGTTGTGAAACCTCTGGAAAGTTCTTTCCCAGAGTGGGAGGAAGGAGCACTCAGACCCGTCTGGCCTTCCCCGGGAGGATCGAGGTCACACCTGAGCCTCCGACGCTGTGCTGTCTCCCAGCTGCTCGTCCCCAAGGAGGAGGGTTCCGAAATCACGATCTTCTACTAATTTAATTCAAGGTTCCTTTTCTAAAACTAGTGTCTTTATAAGTCATTGTCAAGAACTATAATCTAAAATAAATTTCTAACTCGCCTAAAAGTTCTGGCACAGGTAAGGCTTGAAAATGTCATGCAAACCAGCCTCGTGGTCCGTACCGTCTGCCGACGGCCACATTTAACCCGGTTGCATGGGCTGACCTGTGCTTCCATCTAAATACATTGAGGGCGAGGGTTTGGGGGACAGAGAGAGTCCCAAATTTGTTGTTAGCCAATTCCAAGGAACTTCAGAACAAGAAAAAAGAAAGAGGAACTTGCAAAAAGTGACCACACTGAAGTGTCCGGGCTGCACATTCTTGATTTTCGGCCACTGGCCTTTCGGGCAGTGAGTGTGTGCTAATCCATCTTTGTTTCCCTCTGAGCTTCTGCTGGCTGTTTCCTTTAATGCTTTTGGTCACTTGGAATCATCTCACAATTCTTAAGCTCTTGCTCTGCTTCCTTCCAGATTTTTCCTTGTTATTGTTGCTGGCTCATTTTGAGAGATGAGATTATTTAAGATTATTTTGTAGTTGTAAATTAGATTTGTCATCTTTGTACCTAATCTAATCCTTTGGGTGATATTTCTAAAGTTATGTACACTTGTCCTGTAGAAGGGTCATCTATGAAATGCATTTACTTTCAACTTTACCCCCAGGAGGTGGGATGGGCGAGGCCAGCTCACTGGCCAATGTGCCTTCCCCCCCAGGACCATGAACTGCACATATGTGCAGTCCACATCTGGTGCATGTGCGCACGCACACACTCATCTGTGAAACCTTCATCAAACTGTGACCACTCCGTCACCCAGAGTTTACCTGCGCTCTTTTGTGATTCCTCTTCCCCCACCCCTGGACCCCTCCCTCTCCTGAGTAACCCCCGATCTGCTTTCTATCAGTTAGTTTGTATTTCCTAGAATTTTACATAAATGGCGTCATACAGCATGTACTCTTTCTAGTCCAGCTTCTTCCACTCAGCAGAATTCCTTCGAGATTCTTCTGCCCTGCATGGTGATTCAGTAGTTCATTCTTTTTTATCCTCTGTATGGACATGCCACAGCTTGTTTACCCATGCACCTATTGTTGAACATTTGGGTTGTGTCCAGTTTGGGGCTATTACAAATAATGTTGCTATGAACATTCACATACACGTCTCTGCTTTCATTTCTCTTGGTAAATGCCTACGGGTGTTACGGCTGGGACACGTGGCAGGTGTTTGTGTAACTTTTTAAGAAACTGCCAAACTCTTTTCCAAAGTGCTGTGCGGTTTTATATCCTCACCAGGAGCATAAGGGAGTTCCAGTTCCTCCATAGCCTCGTCAGCTTTTTAACTGTTTCTACAGGTGTGTAATGGTATCGCCTCGATTTCCCTCGTGACGAATGATGTTGAGTCTCTTTCCGCATACTTATTTACTATATATCTGTTTTGATCAAATTTCTGTTCAAATCTTTTGCCCATTTTTTAATTGGGTTGTTTATTTTCTTACCATTGACTGTTGAAAGTTATTGCTATATTCTGGATATATGTGCCTAATCAGATATGTGATTTACAAATATTTTCTCCAGTCTGTGGTTTGTCTTTCTGTTAACAGTGTCTTTGAAAAAGCAGTTCTTCATTTTGATGAAGTCCACTTTATCAATGTCTTTTCTTTCACGGATCATGCTTTGTGTGTCATATCTAAGAAATCTTTGCCTGATCCAAAGTCACTTGTTGTAGAAGTTTTATATTTTTAGGTTTTACATTTAAGTGTAAGATCCGTTGAGTTAATTTTTGTATATAGTTCGAAACTCCATTTTTCTTTTTTATAATTTGCATTTGCAACTGTTCTAGCACGTTTATTACAAAGACTGCTGTCGCCACTAAATTGCCTTTGTAACTCTGTTGCAAGTCGTCTTCTGGGCTCTCTGTTCAGCTTCATTGATCTGTTTGCTTCTTTTGTCATTGATCCCACAGTGTCCTGATTACTGTAGCTTATAAGAAGGCCTGAAGTCACCCAGCTTAAGTTCTCCGACTCTTCTCTTCCAAAGATCTTTTTGATAGCGTAGGTCCTTTTCATTTCCAGATGTATTTTAGAAGAAGTTTGTTGATTTTTACCAAAAAAGCCTGCTGAGATTTTGATTGGGGTTGCATCGAATCTGTAGTCCATTTGGAGAGAATTAACAACGTAGCCAATTAAATCGTATCCATGATCATGGTCATTTCTCCATTTAGCTAGGTCTTCTTCAATTTCTCTCAGCAATATTTGTAGTTTTTAGTGTTCTATTTTTTCACATTTTTGGTCAGATTTATCTCTAGGTACTTTAATATTTTTGATGGCTATTGTAAATGGTATTTTTTTTTTACATTTTGATTTGTGATTATTCATTGGTGTATATGAAAATGTAGTTGATTTTTAGATATTACTCTTATATCCTACACATTTGGTAAACTAGTTTTTTAATAGATTATTTAAGACTTTCTGCATAGATATAATTATGTCATCTGCCACAATGACAGTTTTTCTTCTTCCTTTCTAAGCTGCATATCTTTTATTTCTTTTGCTTACATTATTATATTGGTTAGCACTCCCAGTACAATGTTAAATAGAAGTGGTAAAACATACTTGCCTTGTTCTTGATCTTAGGAGAAAAGCTTTCCGTCTTTTGCCATTAAGTATGGTGTTAGCTACAGTTTTCCTTAGATGCCTTTTATGAGGTTGAGGAAGTTCCCTTCTAGTCCTAGTTTGCTGTGACTTTTTATCAGGAACTGATGTTGGATTTGGTAAAGCACTTTTTCTGCCTCTAATAATATGAACAAATTGTTCTTCTTTTTTAGTTTGTTAATATGATAATTTACATTGTTTGATTTTCAAAGGTTAAGCCAACCTTGCATTCCTAGGGTAAATCCTCCTTGGTCACAATGTATTACCATCTTTACATATTTTTAGATTTAACTTGCTAAAATTTTGTTAAGAATTTCTGTATCCATGTTTCTGAGGGATATTGGTTCTAGTTTTCCTATAATATCTATGTTCGATTTTGATATCAGATTAATTCTTGCCTTATGGAATGAGCTAGGAACTGGAGGTTGAGTATCCCTTAGCTAAAATGCATGGAACCAGAAGTGTTTGGACTTCTGATTCATTCAAATTTTGGAGTATTTGCATATACCTAATAAGATATTTTGGGAATGGGACTGAAGTCTAAACGTAAAATTTATTTATGTTTAATGTACACCTTATACACATACCTGTCTAATGGTATCAGAGCTGTTAACCCATACCTCTGTGGGAAACAACTTTACCAACTAGAGCACCGTGCTTACGTGCAGGTCCTTTTGCCTTCAATGTGACAGACTCTGCTCATTTCCAGAGTTACTTAGGGCAGCACCTCTTCCCCCGACTTGCTTCGGGGAGGTTGTTTCATACTTTTGTGACACAGTTAGATTGTTTTTTCACATTCTGCCTTCCATCCTGGGATCCTCCAACCTCCTAAATTATTTTTGTTTTATTTCCGCACATTAAGGCTCACTCTGAACTATGAAGTTCTGTGGGTTTTGACAAATGCATAGTGTCATGTATCCACCATTACATTTTCATATGAATAGTTTCAGCACCTCAAAAAACCCCTTTGCTTCAGTATTCAACCCTGCCCCGCCACCCCACCCCAACGACTGATTGTTTTACCATCACTATAGTTTTGCCTTTTCCAGAATGCTGTGTATTCGGAATCATATCGTGTGTAGCCTTTCAGACTGGCTTCTTTCACTTAACAATATGCGTTTAAGAGTCACCCGTATCTTTCCATGACTTGATATCTCATTTCTTTTTACACTGAATAATGTTCCATTGTCTGTATGTGCCACAGTTTATCCATTCACCTATTGAAGGGCATCTCAGTTGCTTCCAACTTTTGGCGATTAAGAATAAAGCTGCTATATACATTCATGTGTAGGTTTTTGTGTGGACATAAGGTTTCAGATCAATTGGATAAATGCCTAAGAGCGCAATTCCTATCATATGGGAAAACTGTTTTACTTTGTCAGAAACTGCCAGACTGTCCTCCGGAGTAGCTGTCCCATTCTGCATTCCCACCAGGGATGAATGAGGGTTCTTGTTCCACATCCTCATCAAATTTGGTGTTGTCTGTTTTTTGGATTGTCGTTATTTTATTAGATGTGTGGTGATATCTCATTGTTGTTTAATTCACAATGCCCTATGACAAGTGACGTCGAGCATCTTTTCATGTGCTTACTTGCCATCTGTGTATCTTCTTTTCTGAAGTGTCTTTTTGGATCTTTTGCCCATTTTTTTAATTGAGTTTTCTTAGTGTTGAGTTTTAAGACTTCTTTTTATATTTTGAATACAAGCCTTTTATCACATGTGTTTTGCAAATATTTTCTCCCAGTCTGTGGCTTGTCTTTTCATTTTCTTAGCAGTGTCTTTTGCAGAGCAGAGGTTTTCGGTTTTCATAAATTCCAACTTATCTTTTTTCTTGTGCAGATTATGCATTTGGTGTTGCCCACGTGCGTTTTTTTTTTCAGCATATTATGGGGGTACAGATGTTTAGGTTATGTATGTTGCCCTTGCCTCCCCACTCCCCCGCAAGTCCGAGTTTCAAGTGTGCCCATCCCTTGGATGGTGCGCATTGCACTCTGTGTATGCAAATACCCGTCCCCTCCTCCCCCCTCTCCCCCCCATGTGAGTTTTTACACTGTATTCTGGTCCCATTTTGCTGAGTTAACAATTGCAGAAGATCTGGAAGGAAGGAAGTAAACAAAATAATGAGTTCTGTGTTGCACACGTCGAGCATGGGGGGTTGAGGGGCTCCGTAGGTGAAGGCACCTGAGAGCCCATGTGCGGATCTGGAGCCCAGGGGTCAGCTCAGCAGGAGCCAGTGAGAGTGTGTGAGCTTTGGGGTCACCAGCACCATGGTGGCCACAAGAGCATGGGAGGTGTGACCCAAAGACAGGGGCCTGGCTTAGGACGGTGCCCTGCCAACTCTCGTGCTGAGTGCTCATGTACTCGGTCGTGTCCTCAAAGACCGATTTAGACGTAGGATGGTGACGCTTTGAATATTCATCCATCTTCCCTCTTTTCTCCCTAGATACCCTGTCACCAGCTTCAAGTCCCTCCTCGGTTACCTGCCCTGTGGTTCCTGGCAGCATAGATGAGTCTCCCAGTGGAGCGTTAAATATTGAATGTCGTATCTGTGGGGACAAAGCCTCAGGCTACCATTATGGAGTTCATGCGTGCGAAGGCTGCAAGGTAGAGTGACCTGGCACAGGGCAAGAGGCCCCGCGGGCAACTACTACTTGTGGTTACATTTATCTTGTATGCAAATGTCTGTCATTACTAAAAGAGATCTGCAGAAAGTCCCAGATAAGGAACTGACCTAAGTGACAGATTAATTCCTGTCTTCAGAGAGTCTAGGGTAGATTGTTCTGCTGTACTTTGTAAATAGCATAGAGAAGTGCGTTCTTTAGAAGAAAATAAGCCACGTTAGGGTTAAGAGTGACCCTTTCATGGAGTACAAGGTGGAGAGCATTTATCCACTTACCTCTTGACCCTTCCCAAAGGCCAGGGCAGGTGTTCTCACGTACCAGGGGAGGGAACTGGCCCTCACAGACGGAGTGTCTTGCTCAGGGAACCACAGCACCCAGTGGTGCCGTGGGACTGGAACCGGTGCTGGATTCTCCGCTGTGACTCCCAACCCCGGGCAGTTCCTGCATGGCGGGAGCCTGTCTACCCAGCCGTGTACCCTGTGCGTATCCTCATCCTCATGCCAGCTCAGCCAGGCTCCCCGCTGCTATGACCCAGGGCCGGAGGGCGTGAAGACAAACCATTGTCCAGCAAGCTGCCCATGGGACCATTGGCCCTTCCGTGTGGCCAGCATGGTGACGAGAAGGGTCCCTTCCGTTGCATCCCAAGGGCCCCTGGAGCAGCACATCCTTTTAGGGTCACATTCGCATGCTCAACCCAGTGCTTCACGCACACAACATGTGGCAGATCTAACACTCTGCATGTTCGGTTACAATCAGAAATCCCCTTTCATTGCACATGCTGGAAGCGTGGACTCTTTTGGAAAATGCCACAGCCTTTCCTGGTACGCTACCAATCCACGTTCCTGAAACACTGACGACTGCCGCAGGCCAGGCCTGGCCTTGGAGGCCTGGTCCAGAGGGACAGTGTGCCGCGCTGCTAGCGTGCCGGGGCATCCTGCCGTTCAGAACTGTCCCTTCGCGCCCTTCCTCTGTCATCCCACACGTCCTGTAGCCATGCTGCTTTGCGAAGCTGGGTGAGGACACCAAGTGAAGATATCGGCCTTGCTCTCACGTCCCCAAGAAGTTGCTGTTCCTTCTCCCGTGGGCCCGTCAGACCCGCCGCGTCTGAAACACGGGGAAATGATTTAAAAGCAAGGACAGGAAAAGAACCCAAAGCAAAAATAAACTCCTTCCGTGTTTTCTGACCACATACCTTTTAAAAAGCTACTCGTAAAATGGCCTTTTCCTTAGGGCCTTGATTTCATTACTTTCGTTTAGTTTGGGTGTTTTTGTGGACTCACTAATAAAGTTGTTTCTTATTGGATAAAGTTTAAGATGCTTTTAGGAAGCAAAAAAATTGTTTACAAATAGCTGGCTTCCTTTTATTATAGTTTTTGTCTTTGAGGAAGTTAATATGCTCTCACGAAAATTCCTAGGAAGTTTTTAGTTACGAGTATGGAAATGTCACAACAGAGGGAGAAGTTTCACTCACACACATCACAGCAGGGCTACACAACTCTCTGGAAAACCGTCATTGTGTCTCCCCAAGTCAGATGAGGACATTTTAGAATTACTTTGAATTTTACCCCATTTTATTGTTTTTCGTTTTAAACGTAATGAAATTTAAAATTGTTTGTCGCAATTGTATCAAACTTTTCAGAACTATTTCTCTATATTTAGTTGATTTAAAAAGAGACGATAAGTGAACAGCAAAGGCTAAAGCACTGACGCTGATTTACTAGTCGACCACATTCTTTAATAAACCGTGTATTAATCTCACAGGGTTTCTTCCGGCGAACCGTTCGACTAAAGCTGGTGTATGACAAATGCGATCGTAGCTGCAAGATTCAGAAAAAGAATCGAAATAAGTGCCAGTATTGTCGTTTCCACAAGTGCCTTTCGGTCGGGATGTCACACAACGGTAGGTAAGGTGGTCCGGCCCTTCTCCCAGGCACTTCCCTGGTTCAGCCCCCTGGGAGCGGCCTGCAAATACCCGTCCCCTCCTGCCCCCTCTCCCCCCGAACGTGAGTTTTTACACTGTATTCTGGTCCCATTTTGCTGAGTTAACTGTGAACGAATGGGTTCCAGCATTTGATGCCGGATCACTGTGCAGTCAGAGTAGCCTAAGAACGTAAGAGTTTCAAACAGCTGAGATTCAGCAGAGCACTTGGACTTCCTGCCAGAAACTTCAAATGGCAGGGCTTTGATATAAAATATAAAGAGCAACTGGAAGTCACTGAGATGACAGAATGTTCCTGTCCTCCAAATGAAGTGTGTGTCATTTCAAACATTTTACTGTATTATGAATTTCCTTTTATTCAATCGTACTGTAATTTTAGAACATGCTAATTGTGACATGAGGTATATTTAAAATAAGTTGTTCATAAGGGTTGCATCGCTACCTCCTGGAGAAGGAGAAGGCATCATACGTGAGCTCGTGCTAACGCTCACTTTCCCGTCCTCGGCCTTAGAGGTCGGTTACGTGCCAGTGGCAGTGAGCGCTCCTTCCCGCGGGACGCGTGGTGGTGATGCCTTTTACTGTAGTCTTTTTAAAAAGTCCAGAACTTACGGAGTTTGAGTTTTATTTTCATCTCTCCGCATTAGAAAGTTGAATGGTGATGAGAAACGGATTTTAACTTGCCGTACATTCATTCCTGGTTTAATTCCGGGTGGGAACTTGCCAGCCAGCCCCTTGGACTCGGTCACCGCCCGCGTTGCCTGAGCCACGGCTCATTCTGTTTGCTTCCTGTTGTTGTGTTTCCCCGACCCAGCAATTCGCTTTGGACGAATGCCAAGATCCGAGAAAGCAAAACTGAAAGCAGAAATTCTTACCTGTGAACATGACATAGACGACTCCGAAACCGCCGATCTCAAATCCCTCGCCAAGAGAATTTACGAGGCCTACTTGAAGAACTTCAACATGAACAAGGTCAAAGCCCGCGTCATCCTGGCGGGGAAGGCCAGCAGCAACCCAGTAGGTGTCTTTTCGCCGGTCAGTCATGTCTGAAGGGTTCCATGGGCAGCGCGTCGCCTGGAGTCTAGAGCATGATTGAGGAAACGCGTTCAATGTTGAGAAAATAATATTTATCCCAAGGTCAAACAAAAGACAATGGAAACGGAAACGGTTCATTCTGAGACTAAAATGTAGCTTAACGGCAATTCCTATCTTCTTGCTTGGATCTACCTGGAAGGTCTTAGCAACTAAGTTATCATTAACGGCTGTGTAATTAACACTCCAAGAAAGAAAAAAGCCACTAGTTCATAGTTTCCCAAATACTAGGGTTATTTCCTAAGTGCATTTTTTTAAATCCCTTTTTTTTTTCTTTTTTGAGACAGAGTCTCACTCTGTTGCCCGGGCTAGAGTGCCATGGCGTCAGCCTAGCTCACAGCAACCTCAAACTCCTGGGCTCAAGCGATCCTCCTGCCTCAGCCTCCCGAGTAGCTGGGACTACAGGCATGCGCCACCATGCCCGGCTAATTTTTTTCTATATATTTTTAGTTGTCCGATTAATTTCTTTCTAATTTTAGTAGAGACGGGGTCTCGCTCTTGTGAGGGCCAGTCTCGAACTCCTGACCTTGAGTGATCCGCCCGCCTCGGCCTCCCAGAGTGCTAGGATTACAGGCGTGAGCCACCGTGCCCGGCCCTAAATCCCTTTTTTAATGCCGGAAAACAAAACCACTCGTGTCCCATTCAAAATGTGCTCTTGCATCCTAAAACTGGTCCCTGCACTGGGACCTCCCCGTCCCCTCCCCTCCCCTCCCACCCCAGCAGCCCACACACCTGCGTTCTCTTCCTTCAGTGAGAAGGCAGGGACACGTCACGGCTTAGAAAGGGTCATCTGTTCACAGAAACTTTATTGTCTTTTTGGAAAGTTTTGGACCTTCTCGGAGGCAACTGAGATTGCCCCTTGTGGTCACCTGCCTGGCCTAACGTCATCCTGCCCCCACCCCCATAATGAAATAAGTGTTTGTCTCTATTACACAACGCATCTCAGAGCTACCTTGAAAGAGGGGGACGGCCCTAGGCTGGTGTAGATATTTTGCCGTTTTCCTCTGAGTGTGGTGAAACAGGTTTAATTTGTACTAATGAATCGCTTGGAGCAATCCTTATTGGGAATTACTAGCTGGGATTTTTAGTCATAGGGAAATAAAATATTTCACAAGCTACTTACTTTCATGAACAAACCAAACCTCTTTTTTACTGAGTCTTTTAATTCCTCAGTGAATTCTCCAATTAAATAGGCCGAGACATTTTAGAAGGTTCCAGCAAACACCCACGCTGGGCAGCCCTGCTCATAGCAATTAGACCCTTTCTGGATGACGAGGGTGAGAGCAAGGGTCATCTTTTCACTTTGCATTTCTGTCCTGGAGATGGTTAGTGTAGCCCAAACTTAGGGTAACCACAACTGTTGTTCCCGATCTTATAGTTCTCCCTTGGATTTTAAGAATTTAAAGCAAACTTAAAAGTCATCTTTGCTCTTAACAAAATACCCATTTAGTGTGACTGTGACTCCATAGAGTGTCCTATGTCTCCCCCACGGAGACCCCCACGGCTGCTAGAATGAGCCCGTCACCCTCTGCCAGAGTGAGGAGGTCAGGACACTTGAGGACTCTTCACACAGGGTTACTCTGAGACAGGAATCTGTATTTTGGTCTTAAGGAAATAAATAATAGATTAATAGTCTCGGATTGTGGTTCATCATTCTGTTTTCGGGAGAAAGAATTTGGGGCTCTGCTGAGAGTCAGGCGCTGGCTCCTGTCCACACACCTCCAGGCCGGGACACTGCAGGCTCCAGCTGCAGGGAACGTCCAGCTATTGCGTCACTGGTCATTTGAGACTATTTGCACCAAGCCAAGGTCATGCCCACCCGTGTCCTGCACACAGGGTGTTGGAGGCACGGCCGCCTCTTTCTCCCCGCCTGGGCCACGGGCTTTCTGGAGCTCGTTGCATGCGGTGCGGGGCACCCCCTCCGCTCAGTCTGGGAAAAGGCCGAGCCAGCTAGATGCCCACCACCAGCCCACACTGCCCAAATCTCTTCGCACAGCTCTGGTTTTGTGGCTGTGATGGGTGTTGGAAGACCATAGCGTGTGTGTATCCCTTCCACGTTTTTGAGAGCAATTCCATCTGTCGGTAGGAGATCCACTAGGGGCCCAAGCATCAGCCCAGACACGCTCACCTCGACTTCAGCCCTCCCCATGGTCCCGCAGAGCCTCAGGAAGGCAATCAGCCCTGGGGCCTGCAGCTGTCTTCGTTTCTGTTCGGCAGTGGGAGGAGGGATGATGAATTTGCCAGTAAATAGACGCAATCGTGCCATCACAGCTGCATGCCTGGGAGGACAGGCTCGCCTCCTGCCTGCAGGGGCTGCCGGGGAGAGAGCAGGTGCCAGCCCCACAGCTCGGACCAAAACTCGGCCCCGAAGTGTTCAAAGCGTTGATGCGGAAAGACAGAGGCTGGACAGATTTTAATTTTAAAGTTTCCTCTGGTTTGCTAGAAGTGGGGGCTGCATTTACCTTTGTGGCAGTCTAGTCCTTTGTTCTGTGAAGACCACCTCGTGGCCTTCTGATGAGATAAAGCAAAGGCTCTGGCTGACCGCGCACTGACTAGGATGCTGGCGGGACCTGGAGGGAGGACACCTGCTGGGGGAAGGCACTGCAGGGAGCCGGTAGGCACCTTGCTCTGCGGAACGGGGCTTTTCACCGAGGGAAGTGCCAGGGGTAGCTGGAGAAAGTCTGTTTCCATCTGGACACTGGGACTGGTTTGAGCCCCTGAAATTTCTGGACTGTGGGGCAGCAAATGGTCAGGGCCCTTAGTGATGGGGCAGAGCACCTCTGGGGAACTCGCTGCCTCTTGATTGGACAGGGACGGAGGCAGAGGAAGTGGGGACAGTAGTCTGTCTGAGCATGGCTTCCAAAAGAGGTGCTTTTCAACAGCATCTTAAGAAGTTAGTACGTTGGCCTGTCAGCTTAAGAATGTCATGAAAAGACTTTGGGAGAAGCGACGTGGAAACGGACTGAGGGGCCGTGATGAAGGCAGTGCCTTTCTTGTGACGTTCGCTTCCCCACAGCCAAGCGCTCGGCCCCTGACATGCACGCGTGCGCACACACACATGCACAACACTCACTCTTGCTCAGGCTTAGCTGCACCTTCTGAAAAAGTCTTTAGCATCTTTGACTATCTTCGGTGATGGAACATCTTTACCCTCTGAGAATATAATTGAATTTTAGACAAAACCATGAGTCCCTTGTAGCTACTCTGGTGTGCAAGTTCAGATTAAACAGAGTAAGATGTCTTGTTTGGGAAAAAAAAATGATGAAGCAAGGAGACTAATTTTGGACAGGCAGCTGCGTACAGGTTTTAAGATCAGTTCCGAGAGAGGAATCCAACATTATTCTCAACCTTTCAGAATCTTTGGAATAGGCTGTCCTCCCGGGCACCATGCTGGAATAGAACTGCTCCTTTGACAGCTGTTACCTGGTAGCATATCTGGTAGTTTTGCTTGCTGTGTATGGTCAGATATTATACCTGAGACTTAAGTTGTCTTTAGATTAAAACACATGCCTAATTTTATGCTGCTTCTAGAAATAGCAGTAAAACATAACCAAGAGCTTATTAAATAATTTTATCCAGAGCAATTCTACCGGTGATTCACATTTAACTTTTCCTAAAAGACGACAGCTGCTAACGTAGAGGAATTCTTATGAGTGGTATTAGTATCAGTTAACACCATGGAACACAGCGAGCTCTGGCAAGGACAGCAGCTCATGCGTATTTTGAATTCTCCGTAGCACCAAGCGTGGTGCTACAGCAGCTACTTGTTAGTTTATCGGTAATTGAAAGTATAGCTTGTCACAAATTACCTGGCTTAGTTCAGTGTGTCCTTCCTTGCAGCCTTTTGTTATACATGATATGGAGACACTGTGTATGGCCGAGAAGACGCTGGTGGCCAAGCTGGTGGCCAATGGCATCCAGAACAAGGAGGCAGAGGTGCGCATCTTCCACTGCAGCCAGTGCACGTCGGTGGAGACCGTCACGGAGCTCACGGAGTTTGCCAAGGCCATCCCGGGCTTCACGAACTTGGACCTCAACGACCAAGTGACTTTGCTAAAATATGGAGTTCACGAGGCCATATTTGCAATGCTGTCTTCCGTGATGAACAAAGATGGGATGCTGGTAGCGTACGGAAATGGTTTTATAACTCGTGAATTCCTAAAAAGCCTAAGGAAACCATTCTGTGACATGATGGAACCGAAGTTCGATTTTGCCATGAAGTTCAACGCGCTGGAACTGGATGACAGTGACATTTCCCTTTTTGTGGCTGCTATAATTTGCTGCGGAGGTGAGTGGCTGATTTAATCTGCTAGCGCCGAGTCTCTTACAGGCTGCTGTCTTGAAGCATTTGGCAGTGGCAAACCCAGTACCAGCTGCGCTGCCCGGGTGGAGAGGACACTAGCGGGGGGTGGGGGGGACATCTGAGCCCCGAGTTGCTGCTAAGTAGACTTAAGTGGAGATCATGTCAATACTGTGTGATACCGTAGTATATAGTATTATTATATATAAATAAATATTTGTATATTGTGTAAATTATACTTTAATTGTAATGTATAAATATACTACTTTTATAGTTATAGCTAATATTAGAAACAGATATAAGATGTTTATAGCTAATATGTTAGCTATAACATGAACATTAGACATAATTACAATTGTATTATGATATACAATAGTATATATGGCCTATATATTATAATTATAATATGTATTCTTATAATATTACTATATAATTGTTACTGTTATATTAGATCCACGTTGCAGACGATGGTCTCTAAAGTGCCACACAGACGTTAGTGTAATTGCCGTCACTACTGGTGATATTTATACAGTTTCCTAATGGCAAATCTCGGTACCTGCTGGCAGCCATTGCAAGGTGTGCTTTGCCAGGGGACACAGAACCCAGCGGAGGGAAGTCTGGGCCTCTCTGTGCAAGCTGGCTCTGCAGCCCCCAGACTTTTGGCTCAGTGTCACGTGGCTTTAAATCGCCCTGTCTCGGGTCTGGGAAGGTCATCCTCCTACTGTAAACTCCGCCAACCTTACCCAGCCTTGGCGGAGACTGCCTGAAGCCACGTTGCTCCCGTGGCCTACCCACTGCGGGAACTGAGGCTGGCTGCCCCTGCCCAGACTCGGCCTAGTGGGCGGGTCCCCGTTACCGTCTGGCCGGGCACCGGGCAGAGGAGGAAGTCCTTACCCTCTGGCATAAAGCGTAATACAAAAGGGCAGAGCAGTTACACAGGACTTGTCCTTTCATATGACCAAGATGTAGCACGTGGGTAAAAAGCAATTTCAGAACTATGTATATGTAGCATGATCACAGTCTTATAAGAGAAATTATAATCCTGCATCAATCCTATATATATATATAGAAAAATATCCAGTAACATATATGTTAAACCTGTTACGGTGGGGTTAAAATTATGAGGGGGGATTCTTTCTGTCTTTTTAAAATTTTTAAACATTTTAAAAACTTAATAATTATATTTATTTTACAACCAAAAAAACAAGATAAAAAGTCCACATCATTAGCAACATTTGAAAATCATAGTAAGGAACAGGGCTTTAAAGGCAGCACCGCAGATTGGCTACGGCTTGGGGCAGTATTTCTGGACCAAGGGTCTGAGGCTGTCCCAGGTAGGCTGGTGCCAGCTGCCGCAGGGAGGGCATCCCCCCTGCCCCACTGCAGGGCGCCCTCAGCATCCTTTCCAGCCAGGATCCCTTCCCGACCCCGACACCCCATTCATTTCTCACCCTGCTTTCTTGTCACCTGAGTCATTGAGAAGGTACCTGTAACAGAGCTATACACCACAAAACCTAAGTCTGCCATAATCACACTCCTTAAATACTGGTGGAAAAGTTCAAGCCGAATATCTAGTTTTGACTCAGGAACAAGAACTTCATTTCCCGTATTATGCAAAATTGGTTGTTGTCATCACCATCAGAATGTACCATAACTCCCAACGTGTTTGGTTCTGTCCCTGACAAGCTGTAATCAGGTAAATCCACGACGACAGGGCCACACGGTGAGGTGGAATTCGGGTGCTACTGTGGTCTAAGAGTATGAATATTTAGGAACGAGCGTTGTCCTGTCTGTCCCTACATTGCTTAGTGACTTTGGAAAATCTATTTCTATCTTCCAGTCCAGTTGACAATGTCTAAAAGCAGCTTGGCTTTTTCTAAGAAAGGACACATAAAATAGGAATGTTTGGTTCCTCGAGCTGATAATCAGCTAGTAGGTGACTGTCACACTCAAACGTCTCTTTCTTCTTTTGAGAATAGATCGCCCTGGCCTTCTAAACGTAGGACACATTGAAAAAATGCAGGAGGGTATTGTGCATGTGCTCAAACTTCACTTGCAGAACAACCATCCGGACGATATCTTTCTCTTCCCAAAACTTCTTCAAAAGATGGCCGACCTGCGGCAGCTCGTCACGGAGCACGCGCAGCTGGTGCAGATCATCAAAAAGACGGAGTCGGACGCGGCGCTGCACCCGCTGCTGCAAGAGATCTACAGGGACATGTACTGATTTCTCTTAAATCAACAACAACTTTTCAAGGAGTTTTACAGCTGACAGCGCTACAGAGGAGAAATGGGAGCAGCGTGATTTCGCACAAGTATCCACCACTCTAGCCTTAGAAGTCGGAAAGTCTAAGCTCTAGGTAACCGGAGTATTATTCCTTGTCTGTCTTTGTTTCAACCAGTACTTGTAAGAGTGTGCATAGCACTCAAATGCTGGTGATAGGTGGCTAATACCAGGACTTGGAAAATTAAGGGGAATTATGTTCAACGATCTGATTTTAACTCACCCAGTGTTAATCGGTGCACATTTCTTTATATCACGTGAGTAACTGACCGTTTAATTAACTGGTAACCTTGAAATACGTGGTCTGTCTTCCCTCTTTACTACCCTTTTGACTGTTGTGCTCCTTTATAATTTTGAACACTAATCAGCACTTTTTAACAACATTTATAATTGTGTAAATCTAGATGTATCCAAAGGTTAGGTATTTTTAAAAGCAGCAAAATATTTATTTGGAAGACTTCATTCTGTTTCCTAATCTGAAGAACGACAACATGCTATTTTTTAATCATAGGATTGAGAGTTTTATAGAACTATTTGATAAGCTATCAAAATGCAGCTGTTGTTTTGTTTTCAGTTCACTGTTCTCATGGTCGTAACTAATATGTGGAAAAGCCTATTTCCAGGTTTGTGTAGAAGAGCCCAGAAAACGACGTCGTGAGCCCCCCTGGACTGTTCTAAGCTAGCGTCTGCGGTGAGCAGGAACACGACAAACCGCGAGTGTGCTAGCTTCCCACTCCTCGCCCCTGTTCCTGTGAAATCCCAACCAACTCAATCAGGCCGTTTGTGGGCATGATAGTATTTTTAGGGACAAATTGACAAATTATTTGTAAATGTTCTTCTGGGCCCCATTTGGCAGCTCCTATGTCTTTTCCTATGTTGCTTTTTGAAATATGATGCTTTGTTTTTTTAACTCTCGGTGGTAGCAAATGCTCCCTGGAGCACATGCGCACATGTAACTTTCAGCCTGGGCTGGGAGCGGCTGCTGTCCCTGGAGAACGAGAGAGGGGTACTGCGTCCTCTGAGCGGCAGTTTTACTTAGTCTGAGATTTCACAGCAGTTGGTTATTTTTTACAAAGATTTTGGTAGTCAAGTCTTTTTCCCCCGCCGTGTATGTAAGGTAGTTTTTCTGACATCTGAAATGTTTGTTTTAGCCTTAAAGATCAACTTCTCCCCCTCGGTGCAGTTGGGAAAGCGATGTTGAGATGGTAGTTGGTCCAGAACACACGGACCTGGAAGTACTTCCTCCTCCTGTCTATCTCGTGCATTAATTGTCCCTCCAGCTGGAACTAGACTGGACCTGCCAGTGCCGACTGTGACCTCCATGGCGCCACCGTGCACCTTCTGTGTCCCTGAGGCCCCTTCCCTATCTTCAGAAAATTTGGTGCTTCTGACATTGTTATTTAAAGAATGACCAGGATCGACAGGGACAAAGTTCCCCAGATCCATGCTATGAAAATATGACAGTAGAAAGGACAATGACACTCTGAGACTTCCACTAGGAAAAAAGTGAAAGTTAGGAGTAGGACATCCTTTTTTAAAAAATTACACATTTAGTGGTGTTTTGGTTTTGTTTTTCTTTTTTAAGCTCCAATCCAAGGATCTGCTGGCCAGCAGGCAGCAGGCGGCCTGCCCAAGTGTCTTAGGGGTCAGAGCACAGGAAAGTATTTCCACCTATGACACCAATCGAGGGTGATCCTGACTCAGAAGGAAGCTCGGGCTTGGGCCACATGGCACATTCGTTCAGTGTCCTTTCCTAGAGTGAGGACTCCCCGTACCGACGGGACTCATTTCGGGATCAGAGGCTGGAGTCCGATGCCACGTGTGTGCTGCCCCCACTGACCACGTGGCCTCTCGCTCTAGACCAATGCTGCTCCGTCAGGCGTGGCCCAGGAACACAAGCCTCGAGGTTTTCAGAAAAGCCATTCGTTTTGCTTAAATTTTCATATGAACCTATGTAAGACTGCTCCCTATTTTGAGCTCTCGGCAGTAACAGGCAAGCTGGCCGCCCTGCGTGAGCTTACCGGATGCTGCAGGGTCAGTGAGTGCTGCTCTCTCAGTGCCTAGCAAGACTCTGGTGGTGTCCCCACGCGGCCAGAAGGGAGCCTACAAGTGACTCAGCTTGAAAGTCACTCGCCATCGGTATCAATAGGAAGGAAAAGCACACGTTCCCATTTCTTTAAATAACAAAGTCACTAATGGCCACTAACTGCCAGAATGTTTTGGGTCACCTACTCCAAGATTTCTCAGGGTATCAGTAGTCAAATACAGGCCAATTATGCACCAGTTCAAAATACTGTAGCATTTCGAATAGGAACTGTTAAAAGAGTGCACGTATTGCTTGCTAGGTTTCCCCAGACTTCAGCAAAAAGTACAATAGAGATGTCACAACAGGTTCGAGGAGTTTCAGACCCCTGCGTAGGGTCCACTTCCTCTGGCAGCGAACGCAGGAAATCAACGCGACCCACTCTTCGACGAGTCAGTGTTTAAACCTGGTTCTTCATTTTCTCAACTTTTAATAGCAAAAAGTGCCAGACTCCTCAGAGACCACAGAATTACCAAGCAGCCTTGGTCTCACGTGCTGAGCAGGATGAAGGGACGCCTAGGGGCTCATCCAAGATGTGCCTCGCGGCGTGCCAGCTAGCTGCTGGGCCCCGCGTCAGACACGGGCCTCTCTGAAATCCGCGGGGAGCCTGGCAGTGCCCCGCCCCTTCTGCATCTGGGTATTTCCAGCTGGGCGGCCCCATGCTGAGTTCTGCACCCACCACACCTGGAAGGCCAGAGGGCCACTTGGGAATGAGACCATTTGGATGAAGTGCAGAACTATCAGGGCAAGATGCTTCCACCTACACCAGCAAGAGTGGCCTTGGCCTAGGAGGTGGCACGGATACTGAGCACACCAGCTAGTGACCCTTCCTCCTTCCCACCTCGCTCACCGGTTTGCCCTTGACCTTCCTCCAGCTCTGATGAGAACAGGTGTCTCCCGTGCATAACAAGCGTGCAGAGCGGGAGAGAGAAACCCAGTACTCAGGGCACTCAAGAATGTCTGCGGGAGCTGTCCCTATTCTAAAGGGTTTTTCATTTTAAGAGCATAGAAGGTACCTTTCTGTTTGTTCTGACACATTTCCTACACTGGCCATTTGAGACCCCAAGGGACACAAACTGCCTCGAGCATTGTCTGGAGGTTCCGGGGACAGCACAGCATCCCAGAGCTGAGCAGAAGCTCGAGGGAAGTAGTTGGCGTGTGATGCTGAGTACACCCTTAGTTTAGCAGCCACTCCCCCAACACGCTGTGTGCTGGCTACCTCAACAGGCGCTACAAACGGCACCGTTAACATTAAGGTGCACGCGCACTGGGGCCTCGGTGTCTCTGTAACCAGACCATGTGTCACTGGGGCTCCTTAAGCACACGCACGCCTGGGGTTGCCTGCACACGGAGAAATAATGGCTTTTGTCACTTTCTAAGAAATCTGGGTTGTTTAAAGGGAGCCCAAACGATACGCACATGCACAAGTTGCTGCCGCAATTTGGCGCAACTGAGATTGGGTGTGACCCGGGTTTGGGATGGTCCTGGTCTGCAGTGACCCCCTGACCAGGAGCTCCCCTCTCTTACCTACTCCCGCCAGCCTGGGGAGGCTCCCTTCCTGGGAGTGATCCCACCACGTGAGGATGGAGACAGATGCCTCAAAGCAAGCCTTAACACAGCTGCGACTTTCTGAGGTCTGTCTCCTTTCAGCACGCACCTGCACCCCTCTGTGATTCCGGGCACTTCTTGCCTCCAGCTCCCACTGTGACACAACCACTGTGCGTCAAACCACAGTGACACCCAGCACATTTGATACTTACCAGCCCGATGCATGACAGAGGGAGATTTGGATCTTGACCCAGTGGACACCCTACCTGTCTTTGGAATGTCTCTCTGAACTCCAGATAAGCCTGGATGCATCGTTTCAACCCAGCGGGCCCAGTGCTCCCAGCTGAGACCATTGAGACCAGCAGTGTGGCCTTTTGTCAAGGGCTTGCAGGGCCCCGGGAAAGCCAGCCACCTTCAAAGTACCTCTTCAACCCGTGAGGCTGTTGGAAATGCAGATCCCACTAGAAGAACGGGTCAGGTGCCTACAGCTCACCACTTACGCACGCCGTGGTTCCTGATGGCTTGCGAAGCAGGCTCCTGCGGTCTCCTCCACGCTTCAACCCCCTGAGGGGTCAGAAAGGGAATCAGCCCCCATTTGACAATGAAAACGCCAGCCTCGGGATGTAGGGCCAAGTCTTCGGGCCCCGGGCACAGAGCACTTTCTGCACCTCCGGCAGCCCCCTGCTCTTCCCTGGCACTTACGACTGGCGGGGTGGGGCCAGATGACCCGGCTGAGAGGTGGCAGCCTCTCCTCAGCTCCCGCTCTGAGGACGGCCAGCCAGTCCTCTGCGGTTAGCACGATCTGCCTGATGCGGTGTCCTGAGGGATTACTCTTTAAAAGACTAAGTTCAGGACAGTGGTGCAGATTCAGGAGAGGCAGGGAAACTCTACTATCCACAGAAGTCCCAAAGCAAGAGCGATGCCACCAATTGAGGGCTTACTGATGATTAAAAAGTATTCACAGAAGATCTGTGCATCCAATTTTCACATCACTGGCATTGCCGAGCACGGGAAGGATTTGTTCTTCTCATTTTAAACTGGTCCAGCTTCTCTTAACGTCTCCAAGCTGGTTTGTTCGGCTGCATGGGAATTTCTTTCCAACCCGATCTTTGCGTGGGTTTGTCAGTCTAGGAGACTGTGCGCCGTCCTAATGGCAGTAGTGATGGCGCTGTCATTGAAGCCCACCTTCAGACGTCGCAGTCTGGAAGCGAAATGTCCACGAGCACTGCAGCGGGAGGGCTATCGGCCTGCTCGGCCGTCAGAAGCAAAGGGAGGGTTGTGACAAACAGACGGGGCTGACTCGCCGCAGCCGTCCTGGAGACAGCTAAGGGACACCTTGCCATGGGAGTCGCTGAAGCCACTAAGCCATTAAGTGTCCTCCTCCTCCGAGAGTCCTTCTGCCTAGAAAGATCCGAGACTGGGTTCCAAATGTTGAGCTCTAGGTTTTGGCTGGGATTTATATGCTTTTAGGTGCCATTTGATGGATTCAGGAAAATGGTCCTTGACTCCATAGATTAGGGTAAGAATAAAGGCAATGAATTTGGTCGGACTCAGTGTAGGAGATTTATTGTATTTCTCTGGAAACCACAATACACACGGAAATGTGAAATTGGAAGTTCTGTTTTTTAAAAAAAAGACCACGAGCTTCTTGCTGTAGTTGAGCAATCACGCGATGCTTCCCAGGCTATGTCTGTGGAAGGCAGCAGCTTCTTACACGCTATGTCAGTGTCACGGGCTGCAGGCTCGTCACAAAAGCCCCATGTGAGGCCTCTCGTTAGGAGGACAGAGAGCAACAGGCTGGGGCCCAGGGCCGTTGCCCTTTTAGCAGCCCCAGGCACTGGAGGACATCGTGGCAAACCTGGACCGGGGCGGTCAGTTTGCGTCTCAGAATTCCAGTTTGAGACGTGAAAAGTACAATCAGTTACTGTCCCCCTCAGAGGAGCCCTTCGTGAGGGAGGAGGGGCCGTGGCATGTGGTTGGGCTGGGACACACAGCCGTCCCAGCCACATCTCCTGGAGTCCCTGGCCGAGGAGGACAGACCTAATTGTGTCCACGTGCAATGTCACAGCCTGACTGAGGCCGTACCAAGTACTTCAGTGGCCCCATGGCTGTTAGATGCATTATTTGCAAAAAATGAAAAAGTAAGAGATACTGGTGTTTATATCATAGAAAATGTGAAAAACTTCCATGTTTTTCTCCAGGGAAAGGAACACACCAGCCTCCTCCTCTCTTAACCCTTCTTCCCTCCCAACCCAGCATCGAAAATCCGTTACTCCGACGCGCTGATGCTGTGCAGGCCCTGAACCGCGAGCCCTGCCCCAGGCACGGTGCTGAGCAGGGCAGAGCCGCCAGGGACAGGCGCCTGGCACCTTTGCGGGCCCCTGAAGACAAGTAAAATCACTCACTTTTGGAACATTCACTTTTTTAAAGTCAGTTCCTTTTTCAGGCCTAAAAAGAAACGTACCTCACAAAAGATGGATACCACTGAGTTCCCCTTTGGGTAAGATTTCAGCATTCGTGTTGAGTATCACTATTTTCTCTACACTGTGTGGTAAAAAGAACTGTGTTAATAGCTGTATCTTAAATATCGTGATTTGTTTTTTGCAAACATTTTAATACGAATATTTTACTAACTTATAATCATTCATCGAATAACAGACATGAGGATTCTTTTGAAATCAGTGTTAATTGATATATATTCTAAAAAGCCTGGCTCTTGAACCCACTGGAAACACAAAGAAAGCCGAAATAAACGACGGAAGGCCAACTGCACACGCACACGCAGACACAGCTTTTCGCTGCTCCCGAGCCGTGCGAAACCCACTCTCATGGTGAACCGTTCCCTCCGCCACACTTTACATGCAAGAAGCGCCAGGGACCCTGTCTTTCCTCCCCCCTGCCAGCGAGGCCTTCTCGGGCCCCAGGTTAGAGGCCACTGATTTCATACGACAGCATTTTGCTAAAGGCCCTTAACCACTCGTTTAGTAAACAGCTGTCTGCTCTTCAGGGAATTGTTACCTATGGGTATTACCAAAGAACTTCGGCAATTTGAAACATTCTGATGGAAATTATTTGTACACGCTGGTTCTCTGGCATCCTCCAGATGGTCCACCCCGAAGCATAAAGCAGAACCGACAGACCCCGTGAGTTTCTCGTAGGTTGTTTTCAGTATCATGGCAACATTTCTTTTCGGTGTGTGTTTGTGACACCCTCTGGGATCCACGATGCCACTACGCTAACGCCCCTGGGGAGAGGGAGGACAGGCACGTGAGAAGGGTGCAGATCCCAGAGCGGGGATGGAAGCTGGCTCCTCGGCACGTGTGCAGCGTTCCTGTCCTTGGGTGCCTTCTGCTCCCAAGGCATTTAGGGGCTTCAGACCCGTTGTTTTCTACGCCAAACAGGAGCAGCTCCAAAGTAGGAATGCTGAGCAAGCGCTGGCGTCCTCTCTCCAACTTCCTTCTCTTCCCAGGTGGGGAGGGAACCCGGAACCTCAGGAATCAAGGGTGTGCAGAGAAGGGCAAATGGAATTTTTCTAGTCACATTAACTGATTGTTTCCAGGCAATTAGAAAATGGCTATGAAATAACCTTAATTTTTATAAAATCTTGGGTCTTCTTCATTTTCCTGCCAGGAGATTGAACTGACCACATGTATTGATTTATATCCTGAATTACGGGAACTTGCGTGTCTGGAATGTCCTACTGTAAGACGGATGAATGTGAAGAGTTAATTTCAGGGTACAGTTTTGCCTTAATGGTTTAAAAAAATAAACTATTTTTAAAATGTTTTGGCGACTTTTGGGTGGTGCTGTGAAATGAACTGTTTGGTTCGAACAAGCCAAATGCCCGGGGTCGCGTCTGCTCCCTGCCACAACGGTCCCCGCGCCCCTCACCTGAGGCTGTCTTCACCTGCAGAGGTCCTTTTGTCCTTCGGTGTACAGAATGGATCTGGGACAGGGGGCCCCAGAATGCGACATCCTTTCATCTAAAGTGACATGAAACAGGAAGCTTTTAAAAGTGCGGGCACCTTAAAATAAATCACAGCACACGGCGGTCAGCGGAAGCGCTTTACTCACGGCTTTATCGCGGCCAGCTGGCCTTGCGGGAGTTACGGAGCCAGAGCAGCGCCGCCTCCAAGAACTCTACACAGACAGTCGCCAGCTCACAGAGCGCTGTGCCACACACTGCCGCTGTGGAAGGTACGGGGACAGGGGTACCTCGGGGGAAGGGGTGCTGTGGAACATCTGGCAGGCTGCGGGGTTGGGCTTCATGGGCACCAAGGACCGAGTTCCAGGTGGCGTGGGGCAGGCAGGCAGCATGATGGCCTGGAGGTGCAGCGTGAGCGCAGGACGCCCACGGCATTCCTGACTTGCGCAGGAGACAGAGAGTAGAACTGGGCCTGAGCTGGAGCCAGGGCCTGAGGGGACTGGAAGGGCTGCAAGCCAGCACTCCGCTTCCAGGAGACCCCTCCCAGTGACGCCCAGAGTGCCCGGGCAGATGTCGGGTCTCCAAATGTTTCAGTGGAAGGACTACTTTTCAAAACATTAGCTGGTTCTTTGGGGTTTTAATTATAAACACAATACTGGTCAAGATTAAAAATACCATTTTCTAAGCATTGCACAAGGATGTGAAATAAAAATTCTACCCTCCCAGACCTACCATCTGGCTCTTGAAGGCAGCCAATATCAATGGTTTTCCTTACACAGAGACCATTGCTGCCACCTAGCACGCCCTGTGGCCCCAGCGTGCCCCTGCGCCTTCCCCCACAGGTGCCTGCAGGCAGCCTCTTGGCGAGCTGTCCTGCTGAGAGCGGACTTCCCTCTCAGTCTCCTCTGAGCAGCACTCACTGAGGCCGCAGCCCCGAGGGGAGCCCGGGAGTGCCTGGGCTGGGTGTCAGGGCTGGCGTCTGCCTTTGGGGCTGCCCTCTGGGCACAGCTCCTGTGGCCCTGTTGCTGCTGCAAGCTGTCCCCCAGCTCCCTTGGGCCACAGATGCTGCTCCTGACGGCCTGGAAACAAGGCTCCCAGCGCAGCGGCATCCCCGACCCAGGCTGGCCCGGGGGCTCTGTGCAGGCTGCCGCCCACTGCCCTGGCACCGGCCTCACTCATGTCTGAGAACTGGGCTGGCTGGAAGGCCTCTTTGACGGAGCTTTCCTTTTCTCCAAGTCTTGCCGAATTTCCTGAGGAAAAGCACTGATGTTCTTCTGGACACAAGGGAGGCAAAATCTCTTGGAGTAGAACAAGCTGCACTCCTGAAAGAAAGGAGAAAGGAAGGAGGCTGGCACCCTGGGGACACGGTGCAGCTTCTCTCAAAGGCCAGCCCTTCACCACACGCAGGGGGCTGGGCAGAGCCCCCGAGGATGCATGGGACAGGGACACGGCCAGAGCCAGACCAGCAACAGGGAAGGAGGGGCCCGAGGGCCTGGCAGGGTGTCCGGGAGAGGCAGTCAAGGCCTGGGCCACCCTGGGAACAGCTGGGATGGGATAGAAAGACTCTGGGACCGTTTTGCACCCTGCGCCTTCACAGTGAAATGACATCGACAGGAAGCTGTAGCACTTGGCCACACCCAAAAAGTGGGGAATCCTGGAGTCCTCCCTCTCTTAGTCATCACAGCAGGAACAAAGGCTTAGTGACGACCTGGTCCTGGGAGCAGCCAAGGACAAGAGGGACAGTCCCACAGACCAAAGAGGCTGTGGACAGGTGACTAGTCTGGGTGGGAGACCAGAACTGTCCAGCTGCACCCACTCTCCCCACGACCTGAAACACTAGAACTCCTAAGATTCATCCTGGTACATGCTAATCCTGCGGCAGATACTCGGGGACTTCTCAGGCCAGGACCACTCTGGTCACACTGGCCATGCTCTGAAAGCCACACTGCTACACCTCTACCCATCCTTGGGTTTTCAGCTATCCAGCCGAACCTGGCCCACTTGGCCTCTCTGAACCTCAGTTTCCTCATCTACAAAATGGGTTTAACATTGCTTTACCTGACGAAGCTTGGGGCAGGAATCAAAAAAGCCTCACCTGTAAAATAGGTCCCAAGTACAGGGCCTGGCACCCAACAGTTGCTCAGGAAAGGACAGTCCCTTCTTCGGGAGGTCCCTCCAAGAACATGTAGAAAGAAGGTCACCGTCCATGGAGAGAGGGAGCACGGGGCAGTCTGCGCTGTCCGTGGGAGGGTGAGGAACCGTGTGCGGCCACTGGGGGTGGGACAGAGCCTCCAAGAATCTACTTCTATTCCTTGCCCCACGCTGAGACCCTCTAACTGACCCTAGCTTGCCCCCTCACCTGTCCCCTTTGTGAGCTATAGGGTGGACCAGCTGGCCTTTAAGGACCCTCACAGCCTCCCTACCTAGGGACTATTTTTGGGGTCTCCTGGAGGCTCTTAGGGATCAACACGGCAAGGACAGGCAGCCTCA